TTTAATGCGGACCATCTCTCTTTGAGTAATAAAATCAGCTTACCAGTTGAAATCACTTCTGCCATTCTTAGGGGCTGCTTGCAGTTTCAGTTAGCATACAGCTAATCCAGAAAGGGTTGGCAAAAGGGGTTGAATTCCGAGCCCCCCCAAGACCTGCGAACGTCTCTGAGGTCACTGGATCTCCCCAAACCTTCACTGTCTCTCCAGGACAGCTAGGATCGAAAACGACCCGTCCAATTCCTCCGGAATAGGGGAATTTCAGGAATGGCCTGAAACTCCGTCTTCTCACTGCTAAGCCCCGCCTTCTTCCTCAAGGAACAATTTTTTATTTTATCAATACTAAATCTTATTAAATAAGGAAGAACTATTGCTCACAAATAAAAATAATTCATAGGAAATATACACCATTAAAGGTTTCTGAGTTTCATAATAAATGCAAAGCCAAGTGAAAAATGGTGAGGCTTGTATGAGGATTGATAGACTTAGAATTGATGCTTAACTATCAAGATATAAAAAGGATTAAACACAAAACTTTAAATTGTACCTGAAAACACAAAATAAAACAAAATAAAGCATTAAAAAGAAAAACATATATTCACAGATTCATCACAGATCAGATGCACAGTTTAATGTAAAAATTTAAATTATTTTAATTTAAATTAATTTAATTACCTTCATTGACCAGGACTAACTTATAAATAAGAGATGATATATAAGAAGAAGACATTGTTGTGGTCCACCAGTGACCTGAGGAACTAGCAGCAGATTTGGACAGTGAGAAGGTTGGGAAGGAACATGGGCCAGTCCTGAAGTTTGGGGAAGGCTCGGATGAGGGTTCTACGTCGGAGGCAGAGAGGGGGCCAAGGCCATCTGGTAGTTATTTGCTGCCTCCGGGGCCTCCAGAGTCTGATATCATCGAGGCAGAAGAACAGCAGGAGCCTGTTCCCAGTGTGCACCTGTGCAGAGCTGCTAGAAGGCAAGAACAATTAAGAAAACAGGGTCAATTAAGGAGTAAGGCTTGGAGATGATTGGCCACTTTCATAAGACATAAAAGAGGAGCAAACGGGACATGAACTTTTGTAGGAAGTAATTAGTTCATCTGGTCAGTTCAAGCTTTGAAAAGTTCTGTTTGACTCTGTTTGGCCTTGCTCTGCATTTGGCAATTAGGTCTCTGGCAGCATTTCAAGGGCGATAAGATGGGTGTTTATCAACATTCTCCTGAAAGACTGTGGCAACTCAAGCAGACATCTGTCGGAATCTTCACAGACTGTTTTTGAACTCTTGTGGGTTGTGAATGACCATAATAAATAAATAAAAGTAGTTTTTCGACTAAGATTGTGTTTATGCTTTCTCAGGAAGCCTAGGTCAAAACAGATATCTACTGTATTTTAAGAGAATTTACTAAAATTGTTTATATTTGTTGCGATGAAAGAGGAACTTGTTTCTTTATATCTTCTCTTTTTCTTTACTATGTATTGTATTTTCCCCTATTTTTCTATTTTCTTTCTGTGCTTCCTATTTTTCTTTTTACTCTTTGATATATACTGTATATTTTGTTTGTATTCACGTTTATCTTTTTAATTGTAACATTTTATATAATTGCTTTAAGAGGAATATATTCTGGGTAAGCAATATTTTGCTATGGCTGTTTATGTTTCTAGCTTAAATTATGAAACCACATTTTTCCCCAACTCCTGTTTGCTGTTTATTTGGGCATCTTGTAACCTGATGGCAAATTAGAAACAGAACAATTATTTGGAAATGTCATTTAGGAGAGATGCCATGGACACTCAGCTTTTTATGTCACAATTTGACAATCAGCAATGGGCTAATTGCAACCAGGAAAACTGAGCTGAGGAAGAAAGAGGTTTCTAAACAAAACAGGACTTGGGACATGAATATAAAAATGTTAGAGTTCTGAAAGATTCCTTTCCATCTAGAAGCATTATATAACCGCAAGCGCATATGTTTGTGCATGAGCTCATACATACACACACACACACACACACACACACACACACACACACACACACAGAGGAGGGGCACAATCTCCTGTTAAAAGGGGCTTTGAGAAAAAGAATGGAGTTCTCTGTTTATTCAAATCTGCCAAATGAAAAACTAAGTGAATAATGATCCCTTCAAAGCATAGTCTGTTGGTTGTTCTTTTCCTTCGAAGTATTAACTTGTACAGAAAGTGATAATGTATCTCACAAGACTAGTCCTATCAATACACAGAGAAAAGTGGCTGATCCAAGAAACAGTTTTTGGAACTAGGGAGATCAGCTCTGGCACTTTCCCCAAGTACCCTCAATTAGTCTGCTACAATCAAAATTACCTCATCAGGGAGGAAGCAAAATGCAGAGAAATTGGTTTGGGTTCTGTTTGTGGAAGAGATAACGATATAAAAGGGATGCACTCTTGCTCTTTCTGTCAATGGGCAAATGTCTTGGGCTGATCTGTACTTAATGATCTGAGCAACGCCTCTCTTTTGAATGTCAGTTCATTAGGTTGCCTTGCATCACCATTTCCTTTTTCTCAATACTTCCTGATTTTCCCATGCAAAGCAAGTAGAAGATTCTAAAATCATGTAGGACAAAACTTTCCAAATATCATGCGACAGAAACAAAAACTACGTAGTAGATACTGGATTTAAGAGATGGGTAAAGTATGCGGCGTAGACCCAACCTCCCGCGCCGTCACGGACACTATAAAAAGGGCCACAATCATTTTTAAATCACAGCTTGATGCTTAGCTGCCAAAGTGCAAGAAGAAAAAGGAGAAACAGAGCATCCAAGCCATTTAATATCTAACACAGCACAAAGGTAAGTGGAACCCCTAAGATATTTATGATAGCCAGATGTCCTTGTGGACATAGAATTTATTTTCACCTTTCAATCTTCAATGACAAATAAAATAAATACTTGCATTCCACTGTTATTACTTTTGAATATATTACTCAAATAAAGGGATGCTAAAATTAGAAATGGCATGCCTTTTTACCTCGAGTTATACCTAAAAAAATCTTATTATCACAAAAACTAAAATTCATTCATTTTGAATAGATTAAAAAGACACAAATATATAATGCTGGAAATCAACAAAAAATATCAAAAAGCTTTTATAACCATACAAGATAAGGTTCAGGGCAATTTTGATAGAAAAGTTATATTTATTTGGGAAACCTAAAAATTTGCATTGATTTAATTTTCTATTTTATGATTTTCAGAATCAGAGAGTTAGATCGTTTATGAAAATCAATCTATTATTAAAATAATGGTATTTTAGTGCAATTATACTTCAAAATATTACTAAATAACTTTCTGAACATTTCCAAATATTGATAATTGCATTTTGCAATTGAAGTGGTCTATGAATATTTGTAATTTTCAATATATAGATACAATTTTTAATTAGGAATAAATTATAATTTTCTGTAGATAACTTTTCAGAACTTTTCAACTTCATACTGACTTCATTATTGTTTATTTTCAAGGAAAAGAGTATAGCTTGCAGTGTAGCATTATAATTCTATACTAACTGTGTGGAAGTAAATTTCCTTAAATTTAATGGGACTTCTATTGTATCAGTGGTGGGTTGCAGGTGGTACACCCTAGTACATGCGTACCGGAGCCTGCCCAGAGCACTGGGTATCATTCCTGTACAGTGCTCCAGAGGGCCCGCCACCTGCCTGAGCTCCTTACCTGTCCTTTAAAGCCTTTGGCGCTTCTACACATGTGCATGGCGCGTACAGCACCTGCGCAACGCTCCACTGAGCAGCTGAAGTGTCGCAGACGTTTGTGGAGGCGTTGCTGGCAGGTACGACACATGTGCATGCCGTGCGTGTCCATGTGGGCAACACCGGGCCTGTTCCAACCGTACCGGTTGGAACGGGATCTGGAACCCACCACTGTATTGTATATATAGGATATACATAGAATATGTATAGAGAGAATTGTGCTGCCAAACAATTAAACAAAAATAATGCATTTATTTGAAAGAAAGGTGATCTGGAATTTAAGATGATTCCACTAAAAAGTGAAAGTAAACAGAATAAATCACAATCCTTAGCAGTGTCCACTTTGCCTACCTGAGCAGTCTAGTTTGGCAGAGTCTAGTTGAAGCCAATCCAGGAAATTTCCCCTACTCACCAATAAATGTTGTCATGTGACACAAACTACAAACTAAATGACAGGACCACTATAATAAATAACTGAAATAAATGAATATTAATTGATAAAATAAATAAATAAATAAATAAATATATCATGTTTTCATATGACTTCCAAATGAGCCTTGCAATTACTACAGCAATCTTTAAAAGAGCAATCTCTATTGTGACACATCCAAAACAGATAACACATCTGATTATTTATCATCGACTGAATGGCTATTCAAGTGTTGGGTATTCAGTTCTAGAGTTGTTTCCATCTGGAATTAGCAAAGTAATTGAAAATATATCAGTGTTGTGTCTGCCAATAGTTTAACAAGTATTTTGGAGGATACAGATACAAGCCTAAATGCAAGCACAGTTTTGATTGGGCCTGCTGGTTTAAAAGCTCATATGGCAATAGAAGTATTTGAATAATATGTATTATTTTCTTCTTTGCCTTCATTTTCTATTTCTTTCACCTGGACATGGAAAATTAAATGTGTGCAATATGCTTGTATGGTTCATAAATCACTTATATAATTTAACCTTCTGTTTTGAAATGCTTTCGTGGGAGCATTGATTTCTTGATGTCTCTTTGAAATTTTTTATGATACAAAGTTTAAAAAAAAACAATTTTCCCTTTGTTTTTAATTGTTGATAAACTGTATTATGAAATTTGAAGAGCTTTTCAAAATCTATAAAATAAGTTTTTATTTGCATGTATTAGTCCAAAAATGTGAAATTAAATTGATATTCAGATGCAAACTTATTTTTGGTGTGTTTTTAAAATGTATGTGGCCAACATATTTTAATTATCCATTCCAAGATATTTCAATGGAATTTATCCAAGTTGATCTTCCTTCCAATTATACGTTATGTGGGCATAACTAACTGCAATAAAATCTTAGTCTGAGGCCAACTTCAGTCATTAGATTACTTTGAATGCAAACTTTCTACTAAAGACCAAATGTCTCCTTCTTCAAATAGATAATTTACTTTTTAGGTGACAGAAGAAGGAAACAGTTCACTGGAATATTTGTATTTTAAAAAGATAAAAAAGCAAGATATGATATACTTTGATGTCTGCATGAAATCATTTTTTATTTTACAAAATAATAATTAAGGCCACATTTTCTCATTCTAAAAAGTAAGGTGAAATTGTTTCTGTCCTTTTTTAAACTATAAACTTTTGATCCCATCTGGTATCCTATTCAGTAACAGAACAACAATCCTAAATTAGGGAATACTTGAGAAATAATAAAAAGGCAGGTTTAAAATATATAAACAGCTATTTTTTTCTTTAAATGGTAAATTACTATTTTGCATGCTGAAATTTTAATAAAGGTGAAATCTAACTTTCCATAGAAAGTATGAATTAAGGTAAAATAAAACATATTTTGTGACATATTAAAACAACTATGATATATTCTTCCAGTCCCTTGCAGAATAAAAGATGACCAAAATAATAAATTGTGCTGACATTAAAAGTGCAGTAATCTACCTGAATCTCATTTGACTCATAACTACAGCTATAACTAAAGCTATAACTACAAATAATTTTTCCATGTGCAGATTTGACCATTTTTTAAAATATGCACTTTCTTTTCCCAATTACAAAGAACATAATTCTCAAAGAAATAAAATTTCAGAGCCTACAAAAATCTTTCTAATGTTCTAACTATATATTCTGTACATACCACATAATATTCTCTTGGACCTGTTATGATTGTTAACATTAAATTATTATTATTAATTATTTATTATTTTTGTTATCAGAATTGTATCACAGCGGCCAGTTGTTTCGCCGGATTTGGCACTGGTTACTAGTCGGGCCCGTATACGTCGTAACGTATTTTTGTAATATGCGTGCAGATCCAAGTAGTGCGGCTTTTTGCATATGACTGATGGTGATTTTGTCAATTTTTAACTGTTTTAAATGTAATTCCAGTGCTTTTGGAATAGCACCCAGTGTGCCGATTACCACTGGAATTACTACTGCTGGTTTGTGCCATAATCATTGAATTTCGATTTTTAAGTCCTGGTATTTCACAATTTTTTCATATTCCTTCTCGTCGACCCTGCTATCACCTGGTACTGCGATGTCTATTATTGTAACCTTATTTTTCTCAACCAGTGTGATGTCTGGTGTATTATGCGCCAGTATCTTGTTCGTTTGTATGCAGAAATCCCACAAGATCTTGGCCATCTGATTTTCAATGACTTTTTCAGGCTTATGTTCCCACCAGTTTGTTGCTGTTTTAATATTATA